CCGCGCCGCCCAGCTGTTGCCAGCGCCCGGTGCATCGCTTCATGAATTTATTAGCCCATATCCTCGTCGATATGTTACGCTTCGAGGTTGCTGCCCGAGGATGACGAGAAACAGTCCGAAGAGATAGATCTGACAGTTTTTTTTTTCTCTTCGGTTCGCCGTCTACATCGCTCACTTCGAACCGGCTTTTGCCGGTGTGGATTATTCATTGGAGCCGGGTAGGTGGAAAAGGCGGGTGGGGAAAACGGCCGGGTCGGTTTGTTATCGGGCGATGTAGCATTTTTATAGTGAAATCTGCGATGGAAAAAAATCTTTATTTTTGTATAATTTATTCATTATTATTAGACAGCGAAAGAAAAATGACTTTGTATGTAATGATACGGTTTGGGTTCTGTGATATGTAATTTTTTAGTCGAATGCGATTGTAAAGATTTCCTTCGTTTTTTTCGATTCAATAATTTATAGAGGTTTTGTGAGGTTCGATAAAAAATAATTTCAAAAACAGCAGTTTGGTACATAAAGCTTTGTAATTGCTGTAATTTTGCTACATACTTTTTGCGACAAACATCTAGGTCTATTAATCACGGAATAATTTAAATGCAAATTTATTAAATTAAACAATCCAAACCGAGATTTTTATAATACGAAACGAATACTGTCTGTTCGAATTAGTTCACGCATCTTTCGCAGGATCATTATTATCATTTCCGTACATCTCCGCGTTTCTGTGTGTGCTCGGCAGTCATTACGCATTTTGAAAGCTTTTCAAAAACACTCGCATAAAAAACAGAGCAAACATATTTTCCGCCATGTGCCCTCTCCGGATGGAAAAGGGGGCTTACATTCGAAGCTCCGCTCCCCCATAGGCGGGTAACCATACAAAAATATCCCCCTTCGCGGAACATAAAAACCCCGCGCCGCCAACAATGCTCGGAAATTCGACTTGCCATTGTAGAGGGCCGCGCGGGAGTCCCTCTTCGCGACCGGGGTGTCCCTCGTGCGTATCATGAGTGTCAAGTATTGATCCTGAAAGTGCTACCGGTCAGCTAATCTTCGGTAATAACCGTCCGAGGGCGCCCGCTCACGCAACCAACGTCCGACGCGGGCCCCTTTCCCATCGCCGGCTTACCGACGAGGACGAGGCCGCTGCCTGCACACGTGTCTCGATTATGTAACCACTACAGCCCAAATTTAATAGAAAACAAACGCGGCCGAAATTGTACAGCTCTATTTGTATAGCGGATTGACTATACTCAATAAGAAGGAAAGTATTGGAATAGTACTCGATGTGTGTAGTTGGTTGCATAATTATTATTGTATAATAACAGATTTGTTGGTTGTTGAGAGGAGGGGAAAAATTGAAGCGTTTTTTTTTTTGGTTTAGTGCAAACACGGTAGGGTCGGTAGGGTAGCCAGGGAGTTTTAAAGGAGTCGGTAGGAAATGAAATATAAAATAAAATATTCGAGTGTCGAGAAGGGTAAAAAGTAAATAGAACAACCGGGGATTCCGGAGGAAATTCAACATTCAGCGGAGATAAATTTTTCGTCTGTTTGCTCAGCCTTTTGTGATAGCGCCGACCGATAGGGCTCTCTCTCGCATATAACGCGTTAATTTTAATAACGTACCGGAGGTTTTCGCGGAACGGTTCCCTCCGCGCCGGACTAATAAAACCTCCGTGCTCCGTCGACGATCAATTACCTTGATATACGACGTCTGAAAAGCATCAAGGCCTTTTTAACACACTCACACACACACACGGAGATGGGTCTGTTGGACCGCGGTGCGTATAGCATCGCCATAAATTACGCACTCGAAAAACTCGTTCGATTAAGGGAATCGCGAGACGTCCAGCTGCTGCGTTTTTTTTTATCCTTCTATTTTTCCGTTTGTTATTGGTCAATTAGCGATAAATTATGGGCTAGGTATTGCGACGTCCGCGAAGAAGAAACACGATATCGTATTAGCCTTTTTTTCCGTCCGCCTTTTTGCCGTCGTCGTTAAATAAAATTAAACATGATTGAAGTTGTGTTCGGAGCATTTTTATTATTCCGTGCGCTTTTTAATTCGGATGGCTCCGCGCTATTTTCTCGAATCTAGATTCACGTGTACGCCTTATTATGGTGTATTATAATACGGCGCTTTGCATCATAATTCCGGTTGCGTATCGCCGTTGCGTAACTCTAGGAATAGGTAATTAACTATTCTGTAACCTCGACGCGTAATAGTCATTTTTTATGTAACGAATTTTCCGTTAAGTTCTAAACAAACCTATATACTCCAGGTCTTCCCATACATATTGTACTAATCAAATTTCTGTTACATCTTATCGACTCATATCAATGAAATTCGCATTAAGAACTGGCAGCAATTAGACCTAGACGGGGGTTAATGCTGCGAGGCCATTATTCCCAGAAATTCCCGTCCTCTTGACCAAAGCAAAACGTCCATAAAGGAGCAGGAAACGGCCGGCATTAACATCAACGACAAGGAACCCATTTCCCGTCAGTTGTATTCAATTGACACCGTCCCACGTCCAGAAATCCTGCCGGCGACCCGACTTGCAGGACGCAGGATCCCTTCATTAATTTCGGCGGGGTCGATAGGAAGAGACCTACGACCGGGAATCGTCTGGAACCGAAGGAAAAATACACCGAAAAAAGTAAACCGCAATGGCTGCGCCGGTTTTATCGAGAGGGGATCTAAATTCGGTTAAATTTCAGTCAAATTTCGTCACGATTTCGGCCGTTATATACCGTATATCGGTGGCATCTTCCTCGAACCACACGTGCGTCCGTAATGAAGAGACGCAGGAGCTTTTATCGTCCCCGTTAATCTGGTACGTACGCTAACCGTTATTACTCGGACACTGTGAATAAAGACGATTACGATAAGGCCCCTTAACCGGCCAAATCGATACCTATTATATTGTATACCTCATATACAGTGTCCTTCTAACTTTCGTCGGGAATGGGAAACAACGCGGGAGCGCAATTACCGTCTATTTATAGGCGCGCTCCTGCAGGACTTTCGCCAAGATTTCTATAGCGACCTGCTACCCTTTTGATTACGATTCGCATTCAATCAAAACCGTTGACGCAAGTCGTCATAAATTCCGGATTTCCACAGCGGCGTAACGCTTTGCAATTTTCACAAATTTAATCGCTACATAAAAAAATTCGCATTGTATTAATAAGTCGCGTTTATAAGAGAGAGTGTGAGTATCCCCCGGGAGATGCTCGGGGCTTGTAATTGGGAGTCCGGGGAGGTTTCTGCTCCACCGCTGGAATCGTAGCGGCATTTGCGGTGGAGTCGAAAGCGTCATATACGGGAGTCGATCATAAATAAGCGAGAAAGGGGGGCGGTCGAGGGTCTTTTTCAGCGTATATATCCGGGTGCGTGTGTGTGTGTGGAAATCAAAGAGTAAATGTATGTTATTGCAGGCAGACGCGGATGGGTCGCCACGGTAACCTTTAATTGACTAGGCGAAATCTCTTGAATCCGGGGCCGCGGGAATGCCGGAGCGCCTTAGCCCTTTTCTCTGAGGCGAACCAGAATATCCGACGGAATGATATATTGCTCTAATATGTTTGGAAGTAGGTCTTTTCGCTGGATGGTAAATAGGGTGTAATCCTTATTTATTCATTTTCCGAGATACATATAGGAAAAATATTACGATTTACAAAGTGTTTATTCGCTTGAAAAAATTAATTAACAGCACACGAGTCGACTAAGTAGAAATTTACCTAGCTACTAATTAATATTACTGTTTTCAATCGTCATACATATACAAACATTTAGCCAGTTTCGCGCTAACTTATATTAAATATTTCATAAAGTGCTCGGAGAGGGCGAGCTTTTTTGTGTCCTACACGGTCCCCATTCCGTCGTGCACAATTTCCGTTTAATTCTCCTTTGATGTCGTTGATTTACATCAAAGTGTATACTATACATAGAATGAATAAAGAAGTTCGCGCAAAAAGGTATACGTTACCCCAAAACTCATACGAATTCTCCGAATGTATACAAAACACGGCTTAATTTCGTTGAAGAATTTCCCGTCTTTCTCGACGGGCTTCTATAGTACAAACTTTAGGATACTGCAAAGCGGGAAATTTCTATTAAATGCGCTAAGAAATTACCTGAATAATTGATCCGCTAGAATATTCCTCGGGGTGTTTCTGATTACCTTCATTCGTTTCCTGGATACATTATCACATCAATAACTAATTCCAATGATAATTCGTAGATAATTGATCCTTGGGGTAAATTGTAAAACAATGCCATACAATAAAATTTGTCGCTCTGCTAATTTGTTTCACTGATTTCTGAGACAATTAATACAATGAAATGTTCCATTTTATACTGATCACATCACATTTGATGATTTCCAAGATTTCCGGGGTATACAAACACATCATTACAATTAGAATCCCTGGGGATAAGTGATCGTTAGTGCAAAGTAATTCCTAAATAATTGGTCCTTGGGATAATTGATCCTTGAGATAATTGATCACCCTAGATAAGTGATCCCAATGAGATAAATACCTATATAGTAAAAAAAGTGTTAGACATTTAAATAGATTATTTAATTGCGTCTATCTTTGGCCCGGAAAACCGCAACATAACTAACAACGGCAGTTAAGGGGCCCTTTCTTGTTAGGAATTAAACAGCGAATGCAGCCGGGCTAGCGGACGCCCGGTCGGAGATCTCATTTAAGATATACCCCCCGTCTAATTTTAAAACGCTGTAGACAATTGTTCCGGCTAAATTAAGGAAATACCGTAAACTCTTGTCCACTGTTCCAATGGCTTCGAGCTTCAATTATTCCGCAGCGTCTCGGCGTCGTCTTATATTCGGGAGGGTAGATTAGAATTGGAGGGTCGAAAGTAATGCGTAAGTGTAATTGGCAGTTGTATCGGGGAGGTCATATAACAACGTGCCTTGTTGCCAAATGAACATTGTTCGGTGTATTTATAGTTTTTCAGCAAATTTTATTGTGCAATTTTTATGGTTTCGCTTAACAGACACTATGTAGGAATTTTTAAATTAGCTTACAAATATTAATCTAACCAGCCACCAACAGAAATTACATCTGTTTTGTGCGATGGTATCAGGCTTTGTTTTTTCTTCCTATCCGCGTTCTTTTTGTAGATGTTTTTATCCATAATCCTTCTGCTTCCTCTGTGCTTTTCCAAATTGTATACCGTGAACATCGCCGGCGATCTCATGCACCTGTAGGTAGATTTACGCCGTTCCGACATGTATTGGTAGCTTAGCAGAGATTGGTAGCTTTTCGCTCTCGGCGCTAAGCTAATTTGTTCCAATTCGTTTCTCGCTCCTTAAAATAACGCGGTAGACCTTAATCAAGCAAAAATCGCGCGCCAAAATTCGCCTACCTGTAGTATAAAGTTCATAAAGACTCGGGCTGTACCCCACGGGTTCGTCTCCGCCGCGCCTGCAATACCTCTGAATCCACTTCTCCTGTCTCGAACTGGGCACACTGAAAAAATAATAAAACGCCTAACAACCCATCGATCGCCGCGCGAATTCAACTTACGCTCCCTTATCTCCTTTCGCGACGTCCCTACCGAAAAGGAATTCATATAAATTATTGCGAATTTTATTAGCAAAACAGGCGCTTACTGTAATAACTTATTGAAGCCGCTCAAATGGAAACGCGCGTCCTTCTCACTGCAATTACCTATATAAATTAATCGCAACGAAAGTAGGGAATTAATATTACCATCTCAACGTTTGGATGAAGTTCTTTATCTCTTCCGAAAGGTTAGCGTTGCTAAATAAACGAAATAAAACGTAAAATCGATGCATTTAGTAAATAAAACTATACTTACTAAAGAGGTCGGTACATCATCATTCGACTCTGCTTTATGCACACCTCGCTGAAACCAAACGAAAAAAGAAACAACATCAACGGGATCTTTTGATCGGCCGAATTAGCTTACCCAACGTTCTCTTCGTACCGGGGCATATCCAGGATCAAGTGCTTATCAGCGACGAATACTCCGTCTCCTACGTCGAAACACCCCGGCGGGATCGGCAACTCTTTGGTGTTGGTGATGAGCTCTTGGCCCGGCGTTCCGAACCCGTCTACAACTTCACGATGGTACCTGATGGTCGATTAAAAATATGAATGTATAGAGGAAAAGTCAATTGTATATATCCCACCGTCGATCGACGCGATCGGGTATCGGTTGTTCCGATGTCCGGTCTTCGAAGAGGTATTCCACTAATTTCCCGTTGCTCCACAAGGCGTTCATTTTGGTGCCGTTGGGATAGATCAGCTTCCCTATACCGTGGAATTCTCCGATATCGTTGAACGGTCCGTCGTAAATTACACCTGAAATTGTGTAACTAGCGTTATTAGTTATCGGAGATTTAGTTGGATGTACCGTGGGGATATTTGTAAACGCCTTTTCCCGCGAAACCGAGCCCGTTCCATTCGCCGTTGTAGCAAGCACCATCGCAATAGGACCTCGTGCCCCTTCTGATCCTCTTGTAGCCCCAATGGACGCGCGGGTTCTCGATCATCTGCTCGTTGATCTCCAGTACATAGGAGCTTTTGATGATGGTGTCCTTGCTGGGCCGTACTTTGCTGGATAGTTGCGGGGTGCTGAACACGAATTCGCGTTAATTTGCATGCGCGCCGGCTGGATCCAAGCGTTTTATATACTTGAAGTATCTGGAGATCCTGTCCAACGACAGGGAGTCCGGGCTGACGAAGCTATCGTACAATTCCACGTCGTCGAAGGCCGATTGGTTGAAAATGTTACTATCGTTCTTCAAATTATCGATGATGTTCTGCTGGATCTCGGCTAGGTAACCGGCTGATTCGATTAGCAGATGCTTCGATTGTTCCACTTCCACTTCCATTTTGAATACCCAGAAACGATCCTGAAACGTTAAATAGGTGAGAAAACGCGGCGAATTTTCGGTTATTCGCACATTCACCTAAACAAAAATATACGTAATAGTAGGTAATTTCTATACTGAACGTTACATGTACAAAAAAAAAACCACGCCGAGTTAGAAAAAAAAATGACAAGAAAAACCGGCTCTCATATAAAGAGATTTAACAAGTAATTAAGTACATCATAGAATGTCAAATTTAAGTCAAAATAAGATTGTACCAATCGTACAAATGAAATGACCTCAAAAATTCGCATTTCTTCAACCTTAACGCAAGTCACTAGCTCCCAAATATACTGCTCCACAAAAGTTAAGGAAGTTTACAAATATTGAGCTGATAAATTAAAAAGTTGCAGGTTTTTTGATCGACAAATTTAGTACGAGTTGTAAAGGTAGGGGCAAAAAACATTTAATTTCGCATATTTGAAAATTTGGTGATCAAAAAGTCTGTAACTTTTAAAATAATCGCAAAATTTGCGAACTTCCTTAACTTTTGCGGAGCAGTTTTAGTTCTAGCCCGACTCGGTATTGTCTTTAATAACACTGCGAATCGTCCCCGTCTTTATTGTACCTAATCGACAACGTCGAATGTCCGCACTAATTTGCCATCTAGTTCGATCCCCGTGTTCTCGTCCGGACGTTTCGAGTGCCCCCGGGGCGGACGAGCCGCCCCCGCCCGCCGCCCCCCGCGCACTCCCTCTCGCCGCTCTAATGGTCATTTGGAGATGTTCGATGCTTAGGTCGGAACGTGACCGCCTCCCCGGTACAACTCACCGACTGTGCAGATATCAACCGGCTCGAAGAAAAACGAAGAACTCTCCTCACCTTCACCTTCTACATAATATGATGTTGGATGAAATTTTTTCACCCTACTTGAAGCGACCCCTTTATTTGCGCGACATGTCGCAGTGGAGCTGGAAGGGTTGGAGTGAATAATTCGAAAGGTTATAAGAGAAAAATCGATCCTTCGTGAGATAAGATGCATTAATGAGCATCACCCTGTATTTGCGTTGTGTCGGGGAGCAAGCACGCATGCGTCTTCTAACGTGTTTTAAGCAAACAATCATAATGACCGGAATTCGATTCGATGAGAATGAAAGCGAAACCTAATTATACGAGGGCGAACATCGGAGAGTAAACAGCTGAAAACTGGGTTCGTGTAAACAACTACCCTTCTTTATCGAAGGTTGTATACACCTACCTTGTTCTGTTGGATCAATTTTTCGCATATACCTCCAGCGAAATTTCATGGTAATGATTTATTTCGCCCTGCGAACAATTATACAGTTTTTTTCGCTCGGCTTTGATGGGCTATAAAGCAGCGTCGTTAACATTTTTTCGTATCATTTGCTGCCGGCGCGAACAAATTTAATTCGACAACGCGATACAATTAGGTCGCGCTTTAATTTCCCCGCGGGAGCAACATTTAAAAAATCGCCGGAATAAATAGGCGAATTAATTTCGGTGTAGGAAAGTCGCGCGGCGAAGGGAAAAATGAAAAATTCAAACCCCTAGCTCGGTGTTCTCCTTTTCGTCCGGGAAGAAACTTACGTTTTACGATGGTAATTAAGCGATGGAATCGTGCGGGAATTTCGCGAATAAGAGTTTATTGTTGTCGCATTTCGAGTGTAAGTAATAATTGATTAATAGATTTAATTTATTGTTTAGTAGGAGTAGTCGAAATTGAGACAATTTTCATTCAAACCGGACGCGACGGGAAAAAAGTGGAAAAGCATCGAAAGTTTGCGGAGTAAACAACTTAAATTTCCGTTTCTCGTTACCGGAGTCTTAGCCACCGCCCCTGATCCGGGTATTTCGCCCCTTCCGCGCCGCCTCCCTCCTCGACTTTTTGTAATTAAACTTTTTGAATGTTTCAAAGCGATTCCGAGGAGGTTTTCGTTGTGTTCGGATAATTACGTCTTCATTATGTTCATTATTTGTGTTTTCGGGTGCGTGTCGCATTGTCCTCCTGACTTTTAATTTAGACGATAAGGAAAACCGAAAACTGTTAAAAATTCATAGGAAGAAATTCGGGGGGGATGTCTTAATAGCTTCGTGTTCGCGTCGAAGGGCCGAATTCGACGAGGTTCCGGTTTGGGATATGTTTACGCAGCGAAATTCAATTAATTTCGTTCTATATAGCGGTGCGTAGGAAGTGCGTGAATACCCGCCCCGCTTTCTACTTTTAATTACCGAAACGCTCAGCAGTTTAATGATGTTTGATATTATTGCATTTGTTCCGTAGGAAGGACGAAAACTCCGTATTTACCGCCAAACAATTCGGAGAGATTCGCCACTCAAAAGCGGTCTAGAGTCAATAAAAGTAGAGCGAAAGTTAATCAGATTTTGTAGCGCAAGCAGACGAAGCGTTTCCAATAGGAGTCGTGCAAAAAAATAAGGATAACAAAAGGAAAAATAAGGACGACGAGGATGGGATTCGAACCCACGCGGGCAGAGCCCATTGGATTAGCAGTCCAACGCCTTAACCACTCGGCCACCTCGTCCTTGTAGAAATCAGGTCATAGAACCCGTTATCAGTTACACGTGAATTTTTATTATTGCGATAAAATATTACTATGAGTAAGCAACAATTAATTTGATTTTATATTCCATAAAAAATTGATTTAATTGCAAATGTATTTTATATCGCAGAATATAATTTAAGTTGACACCATTCTATTGACAACTGACATTTGACAGCTCAACAACAACTTCTATTGAATGGTCGAATAAATTTGACATCCGAGGCCAATAGAAGTAATACAAAAAGAAGTAGAACATTCCGTTTAGAGGATGAAGGAAAGCGATGATAGGGGGTTATCGGGATTGAATCCTGGGCAACAACACGCATTGATTTATCAGCGAAATCGACTTAAAACGCAAGGATTCCGACCTGGAGAAACGTTAGCGAACCCGACCCGCGATAATTGAATTTAGATCGCGCGAATTTATGACGTTTATCCGATCCGGAACGAGGGTAATCTAAATTCCGACGCCCGACGCTGGTCGTCTGGACACCGGCCCGGCCGGTTCCCGACGTGGTACAAAAGAAAATCCTGGCGAAAGGATTTTCACTCGAGCCTTCACAATGCTTTGACTGATGGCGCATATTTGGCCTATACCGGACCCGCGCCAAATTGAAAATAGTATCGGACGTTTCGGACCCCCGTTTTCGGGTCCTCCTTCAGGTTTTCAGGCGGAAGAAAGGGCCCCGGCGTGATGGAGAAGGATTTTCGGGTTTGTTTGCCATTCAATTACCGGTTCTTGAATATATATCGCTATACGAACGATTGGAATACCGGCCAAAATTTTACACCTTCACCCCTCGCGAAAATCCAGCCTGCTACGCCGCTGGAATCGCGCAGTGTTTGGAAAATAAATTAACGAAGGGCTCGACGGGCTTCGGGCGCAAATTGGTCACTTTTACAACGCTGCTACTTAGGAAAATCGCATTAAAATCGCATATTTGATTATAAAACGCCCCGGAAAAGCGGAGGTATTGCGAAAGAAAATCATACCCCCGAGACTTCATCAACAGGAAAAAATATATATACGCTTAATGACTTACCCAATTTATTATTCATCAATAGGTAGGTACAGCTAAAAATACATATACAGATACACACTTACAAAAAATGTTTACATTAGATACACAATTACTTACATAGTTGATTCAGTTGATATTTATATTTTGTATAATAGAGAGTTTCCAGCGAAGCGAGAATCTTAATTTGGCTTAACGCTCCCGTACACATTCGAAAATCAAAGGAAACACAATAGATTGAGTACAAAAAAACGGTGTATAAACCATTACATAATTGAATCAATAAAGTCCCCGAAATAAAAAAATTGGACAGGCGACTCTTTTCGAACGTTTCTAATCCATCAAAAGCCTTTCATGCAATGAATGCATGAAAACGGACCATTATTGCGTTCTTTTCACGCCGGCGAGCACGTAGAAATGTCCGTCAATTCTCTTTTCCCCGACACTCGAAATTGATACGATTAAAACGCTAAAATAGCGGGCGGATTCGTCCGCAACTTCGCTTTTCCGGGTACGTTAGTTTATACGTATGGATTGCGGTAAAAATCGCCCGAAGGAAAAACAGTTTTTTCCTTGATTGGAGTGATATTTTCTCGTTTAGGGATCAATTCGCCGGGCTTAATGCAACAAAGTAGGATAATTAGTGTAGCAATGGGAATGGAGCCGGGAGCGCCGGAATTCTCATTGCACTCACGTTTCGAATTTAATTTGGAAAGCGAGAAAGCTTTCGGCTCCGGTCGCCATTTGACTGCGGAAAATTCCGTCGAATATCACTGACCGGTCGGCATTAAGGTGGCCAGATTTTCCCGAGCAAAATCGCACTTAAATTTTATTTCCCCCTTTGCACGGCGCTTTCCGGCATTTTTAGCGACTTTGTTTCCCGTTGGAAAATCCGGGGAAAAGAACCCGATAACGTGTATATATATCGAGGAGTTTATTTTCGGGAGTGTGTACGGGGAATGCAAATACCGCATCCGGTTTGGAAAATTTCCATCGCCTATTTTTCTTCTACCTAACAATCGCCGCGCGTCAATATTTGCGATACGAAGCGAAAACAAACAAAATACAATTCCGGGCGAAAATGCCGGGCGAACGTTACGTTAGGCAATCATTAGGTACAATTCTAAGTAAACCTCGCGTTTCCCAAAGAGGCGTTCAACGGCCATAATAAATTCATAACACGCCTAAATATGCATCGCCGAGGATCGGCTCGAAACCAACGAGAACGATAGCTGGATGATGATAAAATAGGCGCAACTCCAAACATTTTAACAGGTTAAATTTATTCACAAAAAAAATCTTCACAAAAATACCCATATACAAAAAAATAAAAACCTAAAAAACGCCCATGGCTCCGGATCGTAGGTATACCTGATAAAAGCGTATAACGCGGATAGAGCGCTTTCGCCGGGGAAAATATCTCTATCTGGAAAATAAACTTTATTCGCCGAACAAGATCCCGAACATCAAACTATTTGAATATAATTATTGCCGGAAACTCGAAAATGCGAAACGTAAATATACCTACAGTAGGTATAACTCGGATTGCGTTTGAGTGGAAAGTAATACTTACTTTGTACTTTCGAATGCACGTTCGCA